CATGTTCCAAAGAGTTGGAGTCACCACTTCACGAACCAAAAGGTCCAAACCAGCTGAAATTTCAAGATTAGAAAACCCCAATACCATAGTGTGGTAAAATCATTGCGACGAGGAAAGCACAGAACCAATCCCAGGACATTTAGATGGTTACTGCCACTCATTTCCATTCCATGTACCAGAAAAGTTATCTGAATAAGAGAAGATTCCATAGCGTGGCCTCCAGGTACTTGGAAGATAAATCCAACCAACCACGGCAGGAAAAGGATCGGGGAACATAGCACACCATGCCAAGAAAAAGGCAGCTCTATCTGAAGTTCGCTGGAAAAACAGTGGAACTTTCCTCGGGACTGGATGTTGGCATGAGCACATCGGACGGCTCACGAAATCCACTTGAGTTACTTTAAACTAAAGCAAATAAAAAAGGACGCAAATTTGCACTGCCTTGTTTGGATGACATGTCCATCACATGTGGATTGTAGTGGATACATGTGCATCCAAACAAGCCAGGTTCTATAGAAGTGGTTAACCTGTAACTTTAATTAGAACACAGTGCAATGCAAAGTAACTACAAATGTTCATACAGATATTCACCAGGAAGTGGAAGTCAGATAAGCTACATGAACAAAGGTAACGGAAGATACAAACAAAGCGAAAGTACGGATAGACACGGATAGACACGGGCAATGGAAGTTCAGGAAACATCACATGCACTCAAGTAGAAATCCCAGCTAGCACCCAGGCAACAGTCGAATGCTAGAACCTTTACATGCTGTGGAAGGAAAGGACAAGAATTAGAGAAATATAAACAAAACTGAAGAAAATTAGTATAACAGATTAACAGGTGCATGGTAAATGAGAACTTTTGGTGGTTGTCAAGCCAGATGATACAGTTTTGTTAAAACTAAAGCCCTGCTTCAATAGGGCAGGTCCAAAAGTTCCAGCAAACTGTCCATGGAAAGGTTAGGACACATAGAAGCACATTACACTGGACCTCTGATCATATGGGAGGAAAATGATCAAATCAAAGGGAGCTAAGGTTTTCTAGGAGTATCAATTATTAAAGGATAGGGCCATCGGGACGGGATGTTCACTAACAATCTAAAAACTTATCTGGATCTAACATTTGCTCTAATAAAGAAAACAGGTTTCTGCTTTGTAGACCTTGAATGATATATTCATGTTTCTGCTCTAATAAAAATTCTCCTATCTTTCATGTCAAAACTATATTAAAAAAAACTCAGACTTTACAAATTAAAGTAAATACATCATTTAGTATGCATAACTTTCCATACACCTCTACCCATAGAACTGCATGCCACAAAGATGCTACATCACAGTGAAAATGAATTCTAACAAATTACCATATATGATGCGCAACATATACAACAGAAATGTGCAGCATTGATGCCTTAGAACAGGTAGAGGAAATACTATTGAGAAGAAGTTACATAGCTGATGCCTATCATACAACAACAATACAACACAAATGGGACATTTTAGTTCTATACGCTAACCTGAAATCCAAGAGGACTTCACTTCACAATGCATCAACGAGGTCAAGTATCTGCAGAAATTGCACCAATTCTAGATATTAGCCTAATTAATCACAAAGGACCCTTGATATGATACATGCAAGCTGTTTTTTTTTCATTAAAAGCCATCATAAAATTCAATGAGAAGGATGCAGTTAATCCAAACCATTAAAACTTTTGAGAACAGTTTACAGTTTTTCAGGCAGTAAGTTATAAGAAAACATTAGCCCACAGCTTGTTATGGATTAATAGCATACAGATAATGAAAATTCAGCTAAAGAATCTAAGTGTAAGCTAACCCTTTCATTGACCGAAGTTGTGATGCATAAACTAATTGAATTTTTGGATAGGAATAACGATTTCCATCAAGCTATTTCGCAAATATGAAACTACGGTACAGCAGGTAACATTTGTGATGCTTAATATATTTTTCCATTGAAGGCACATAACAGATGAGGCCGAGTTATCTCAGCATCTTCAACTAGTTAATGGCAGCTATGTGTTATTTAATAATCCAATCTGGGCAGGCGGGGGGTACCACACCAAAGGCCAGCGGACACGACGTCCCCAGTGGCCGCCACATGCAGATCCACCCAGGCAGGGAGACGGGGATGTCGGGTGGTGGCGAGCATGGCTGGATTGGGGCTGGGGCGACCAAGCAGGGGAGAGCACCTACCAGCAATTGGATAAACTTTCAGACTTGGGCCTTGGGCTGCTTTGACAGGCCTTTCTGTCCAATGCTAGGCCCACTGGTCCCCTGTTTTTCCATTTCTTTAAGTGTATATATGTACGTGGCACATGCCTAGGCGCACCTAAGCTCAAGGCGCAGAGGGTCACAACCTAAAAAGCGCCTTAGTGCCTTCTGAAACCTTGATTTTATTAAAAAAAACTTGTGACATGACATCACTCGTTCTATAAATTTTAACCAGTCAAGTGAAGAGCATATCTTAAAGTTTGCATAAATGAATAGAAATGCCAAAGGGTATCTTAAAGTTTGCATAAATGAATAGAAATGCCAAAGGGGGCGGCATAACAGTTCAGGAAACTAATATTATCATCTACTTTTAAGTAGGGGATGGATGGATCAAGATCCATATCCAAATCAGAGGAGACTAAGGCACACCCAATATGAGATGTCCATATCTAATTCAATCCAATTAGACTGCAGAAAGGTCCAAACAATCAATTAAAGTCCAGTATCCATCCAATCGTCAAACATTGGGAAACAGTTAACATCAAGAAACAGTTGAACACAAGAGGAAACCCATGCAAAGGAGGGGATTCCCCTGCTGTTTCCGTCCATTTTAAAAAATCCCATACGTAAAATCATATGAGATGAGAGGAAAATGAATTTCTAGCCGAACTTGTCTAATTGGAACTAGATTGAATCAACCAACACTTCCAACCATCGATTGAATCAATCCAAGCATACAGGCAGTTGGGGGCAGAACCACTGCTGTTTCACAAGCATCCTGTAATAGACTGCAGCTCTTGTGGCGCACCCACCTAAGCTGCCAAAAGCCATTGATTCCTATGCAATAAAGAACCCCCTGAGCCTATAGCTGTCCAAAAACAAGAGGGCCATGGCCAGCCTGTGGCCCGTTATTTTCGCCCGGCCCAGGCACACGGCATGACCCGATGCTAATCATCCCTGTGCCTGGGACGTTACCTTGGCCTGTCGGGCGGCACAAGCATGACCCATATAACCTTGGCCTGTCGTTGCCCGTCACACTGCCAGGCCTCATGCCGTCTCCTCGTCCCAGATTCCCTCTCGCTGTGCTGCCCTCTCCACCGTGCACTTTGGCCCTCGTCCTTGTCCCCAGATCTGCTCTGTTACAATGCTCCAGGTCACGGCACGATCAACCCTGCCTGCTCCGGCTGGAGCTCAGCTTTTGTCTCGCCTTGATGGGGTTCAGAACAACAGCTTGATTTTGCTTTTGTTTTTGTGAAATGTCATTCTCAATCTAGAGTGAGTCAATCATTGGTATCTTGTTTTGGTTTGTTTAATCTTGCATTTGCTGATTAGCTTGTGTCGCCCAACAGCCTGGTTGGCATTCTGGGTTGTTTTTCCTCAATTTGTTTCTCTCTCGCCTCCTCCCTTCTCTTTCGCTCGGCATCAGCAACAGGCCAGCAGCAGTTTGGCAGGAACCTCTTCCTTGCCCCCTCGGCAGCCACTTGCAGTACTGCTACAGCCCCGCCATCCCCTTCCTCTTGGTGGCGACGACATGAGGCCCTGGGCTCACCAGGCACGATTAGCAATAGGGTCGTGCTGGCCCGACTTTGGCAATCTATACCTGAGCCTCTTCAAGCAAGTGGGGGGAATGCACTGTAGCTTCACAAGCAGACCAATGTACAGACCCCAGCATTGTGGCCCATCCGTTCACTACAGTCAAGGCCATCAATTCCTATGCAGGTAAAGCCCCCAGTGGTGAAGTCAAATTGTCAAAATCCCCCATCTATTCACTACATGTTCAAGTAAATCATTAGCATTGATAAGTTGTGGCATAACCACATCAATACCTCTTTGGCTCTTTCTTTTATGGGAAAACAAGGGTAAATCTACAATTAAAATTTTAATTCAGGTGCTCCCAGCCAAATGTTCTAATAGGCAAAGAACAAACATAAAGTACTGATCAGTTGATGGTAAAGAGTGAAAATAAGGATTCAGAATTAGTTGCTTTCACAATCTCAAAACTTAATAGAACCAAATGGGAGCATGTAGAATAGTAGAATACTTGCAGCCTAAATTCTAGATCTTCAGTAGGAAAAACTGAAGCAAGGAGAACAGACATATAATTGAAACATAGTTACTGCAACCTTACATGGGCAATCTTCTTTACTAAAAAAGGCCTATGGTCGCTAAACCTAGTTTTCATACACCAGGTTGTTCCACCAAACAATCAAGTTCCACAAAGTATTGTAATACCATATGAAGCGGACACCCTAAAAGATAACCTGAACCAAATACTGTTCATATAAAGGAAACGTATACCTGCAATCCATGCTAAATATTTCTATTCGAGTTAGAATGACTGCTTAGTTGCAAGAGTTGCAAGTAGATCTTAGTAAGATATTGTACAGCACATGTGCTGCAGGCGGTGTCCATTTTGGCATGTAACCAGTAGTAGCTAAAACTTAAGGTTTTACGATGTTTGTGGTTGCTTGGTTCTGGAGACAATGGTTCTGAGTGCAGCGCATGCGGCAGGCTGAACCCTGGGTGTTCAGATGTGGTGATGCATTTTTGGAAGTTCCTGTTTTCATGGTTAGAAAAACTCTGAACACTTGGTTGCTGTGAGGCAATAAACTTTGGGCTTCCCGTCATGAATAAAAGAAAGAATGACTACTTAGTTGGAAGCAGAATAACCCAGAGTTCATCAGAGCCAATTAATCGATAGTAAATTTAGTGCATTTCGTATGGATAGCCCTATATGACATGCACAACATGCAAATATAAGGGGAAGTAGAAATTCAGTTACCCTTGTGCTCCTCAGCGGCGTCATGGTACTCGGTCTCCTCCTCCGGCACAGGGTGCAGCACATCCTCGGCACCAACCGCGGCAGACAAACCGCCGGCCTCCCCAGCCTCAGCGGAGCCGTCATCAGGGAAACGCACGACTACAACGGGGCAGACACAGTGGTGGACGCAGTAGTCGCTGACGCTGCCGAGCCTGCCCTTGCTGGTCCTCCGCGCGGCGCCGAAGCCCTTGCTCCCCATGATGACGGCGCTGAGCGAGAGGCGCTCGACCTCGAGGCAGAGGCGCTCCTTCATGTCGTGGTCCCTGACGATGTGGATCTTGTAGGGGATTCCCGCGTCCTTGAGCGGCCTGGCGAAGTCGTCGGCCTTGGACGCCGTGAAGGCGTCGTAGTCGTCCTCCATCCTGCGCGCGGCGGCGGCCTCGTCGTCGTCGTACTCGGCGGAGGCGGCGTTGCTAGGGTTGGGGAGGGAGACGTCGACGGCGCCCCAGTCGGCGCCGTAGAGCACGGAGGTGGGGCGCACGTGGAGCAGGATGACGGCGTCCCCGGGGCGGAGGTAGTTGGCGACGGCCCAGCGCACGGCGATGGCGGACTCGTCGGAGAGGTCGACGGCGATGGCGATGCGGCGGTGCGAGGTGCCCAAGGGCGCGGCGGCGGCGGCGGCGGAGAAGAAGACGCCAGGGGACTCCGGCTGCAGCGAGGCCGGCGCCGGGGGCCGCGGCGTCGGCGCCTTCACCGGCGGCGGCGGCGCCGCCAGCGGCAGGTCGATGGAGGAGGGCGGCGGCGGGGCCTGCATCGCGGGATCTTCTGCGGCGATCGGTTTGGGAGTGGGCAGTTTGCTTAGCGGGGTCGGGGTCGGGGGTCGTGGGGACTGGCGACTAGGGGGACTAGGAAGGGAGGGTTCGGCTGGATTTAAGCCGGCTGGCTGGAGGCGTGTTCGGTATTTTTCGTCCTGCCGAGATTTTTAACTTTTGCCATCCGATACTCCTTCGTTTTACCATTTTTATACGTGCTCCTCATAATTGCCATAATAAACAATGAACCTCCTACGTTTTTATTATTTTCACTGACATGGCACGTCGTGGCCACGTCGCAGTGAGGCTGAAAAGACCTACAGAGCATGCGAAATGACCTATTTACCCCTATTGCTTCTCTCCCTCTACTAGCTGACGCATGGGCCCCACACATCAGCTTTATCTTCAACCTCTAGCCACGGATGGGAGCCAGGCACCTCCAGCTTCATCTCACACCTCCAGCACCTGGATGGGAGCCGGACACCTCCAGCCTCGTCATCCCTCCATGGCTGTCGAGCAGCCGAGGACGACGAGCAAGGCACCGCGCGCGAAGTCGATGGAGGAGTTCTTGCGGCAAAGAGGGGCTGGTGGCAGCCAGCCACGGATAGAAAGCGAGGCTCTCCGACGGAGTGCTTCGGTTGAGGTGGAAGACGCCACTGTGGCCATGGATTGGCGTTGAGATGTGGATAGGTGGCCGCGGCGGGTCCTTCCGGCCCCAATGAAGGAGACGGGGAGGCGAGAGCTGCTGTGTATGCGGAGATCGGTGAGCTCGACCTCGGGACGACAATGGCGACGATGGCGGTGGTTCACGGCAATGGGGCGGGGGTTGCCAAACGACGAGTAGCGGGGTGAAGTCGTCATGCCACTGTGAACTCGCAGAGCCCGTTGGGAGTAGCAGAGACGGCTGGATAGGGGAGATCGATGGTGACGATGGAGCTCCAGTCATGGCCGCAGCTCCGTGCAAGCTCTAGTCTTCTACCCGTCTTCGTGGAAGCTGCAAACAGGAGCAAGCGCAGGGAGCTTTTATGAGGCAGTAGCTCTGTAGTAGCACGGCCTAGGTGCCAGCGCGCCGCTCGTCCTCCCTCCGCCGCCAGAGCCCGCTCGTCATCGGGTCGCTCGGCTTCGGGTGATGGCCGGAGGTTGAAGACAAAGCTGACGTGTGGGGCCCACGTGTCAGCGAGTGAGAGAGAGAAGCAACAGGGGTAAATAGGTCATTTCGCATGCTCTGTAGGCCTTCTCAGGCTCACTGCCACGCTGGCGTGCCCACCTGGCGTGCCATGTCAGCAAAAATAGCAAAAACGTAGGAGGTTCACTGTTTATGATGGTAATTATATAGAAGCACGTATAAAAGTGGGAGTGTCATCAGTAAGGATAAAGATGGCAAAAAGTTAAAAATCCAAAACTTGTCACGATCTGGACGAGGTCAGGTCACGAGGAGCCTTGCTTGCCAAGTTGCCTTGGAGTGGAATGCGACGGCTGGTCGGCTGCACGCACGACGTGCACGTGGAGGATGGATAAGGATTAAGGACAGCCCCTCCCAGATCCAACGGCTTTGGACCAACTCAACTTGCCCAGCTTGCTGTTCCTGTTTCGTCATTTCCAACGGCATTTTCTTCCAATACTACGGATAAGTACCTGTACCTTTAGTTTGAGTACACTCATGAATTGATCAAAAAAGAAGAAAAAGGAGAGAAGAAAATGCCGCTGTTTTGTTGATCCCTCCCGTTGAGCCCTTCAATACGGAGAGTAGAAGACACTCTTCTGGTGAAGAATTCCTAGCAAATTCTCTGGGTCTATGAACAGGGATAGAACAACTCTACTTTCGCTGCCGCGATCTCTCAACTTCTGGAGCGCAAAAGATCTTCATGACGCTTGCCTGGTCTTGTGATTTGTGTTAAACAGCGGGCATCAAGAGAAATTGTTAGACTATCCTGCTTCCTGCAGCTGCAGCACACAGTTCCCTCCTCCATGCTCCACGTGATCAGCTGCAAAGCGCAAGGCTGCTATTCCTGCTAAGATAAGGCCCAGCCAATCATTACTGTACGTTGCAGGAGGACCACGATTTGGGAATGGATCGCTCGCTTCCCTTTCTTTTTTGGAGTCAAAAGTGCACCGCACATGCCAATCAGCGTCCAGTCCAGCCTACAATCACTACTACTAGGGTCTCAATCTCATTGAGGCCTCGTTTAGATTAAGTTTTTTCACTCTCTCTACATCACATCAAATCTTTGAACATATACATGAAGTATTAAATGTAGATAAAAAAATAACTAATTACATAATTTAATTGTAAATTACGAGACGAATCTTTTGAGCCTAGTTAGGCTATGATTGGACAATAATTGTTAAATACAAACGAAGTGCTACAGTACCCAATACTGATTCCTAACCTTTAAGGCATCAGACTTCATCAGGCCGCACTTTAGTTTCAGTTGCAAGGAACATTCTGGTAGCGGAATCGTCTAGCAACCTCTGACTGACGACGTATGGCTATCGATTTTATTAGTTTATCCTGTTTGCCTGGGGCCTTAGTTAACCTGAAATGGACTAGTAAACTAACATGACAATCTAGTAGATTATTGCACGGAAAAAGATTGAACGAGAACAACAATAGAAGGGAACCATAGGTAAGGCACACAGCCAACGGAACAAGAGCTGCACCAGACAATAATGTGGAAACAGAACACCGGATCCAGCCACAGCCTTGTGTCTCAATATTATTTTTCATGGATCATTGCATTCAAATCTTTTTTTTAGGGTTCAAGAGAAGAAAATTGGACTCGGGTAACAGCTCAGAGTAGAAGTAAACCGGGTTTTCCCATCCATTTCTCTTAGGACGAAGATATTGTGTGACGGGTCGTGTGATTGGTAGCCGCGCCACCCGTCTTCCTCCTCGCCAGCACCGCCCCCGCCTCTTCCTTCCGCTACACTGCCATCCCTCCTCCGCTGCCCCCTCCCTCGCGCATCCACCATCGGCGTGTAGGTTTGGACGCTCACCGCTTCGTCGCGGAGCTCCAACGAGACCCTACCGCTCGCGGCGACCTGCTTCTTCCCCTCCCAATCCACTGGCCCCGTCACCATGGCCATGGTCGCCCCTGCCCCAACCTGACTAGCCCGCCTCCTCCGCCCCCCGCTCCGGCAGTGTCACCACCGCCTCCGCCTCGCCGCCGTCTCTCCCCCGCCTGGCTTGCCTCCCTCCCTCGACCTCCTTTCTAAGCCCGTCAGAGATGGAGAAGAAGAGAGGGGCTGACTCCCGTGCTGTGTGCACGTCGTCCGATAGCACAGAGGCGTGACCAGTCGCATAATTGAATTTGCGTTTCTCTTAACAAAGAACACGTCGTAACCACACAAAAAAAATCCACATCCTTTATTTGTGTGTAATGGGCCGATTCCACGAGTAGAAAGGAATGTCTGAGCTATGGAAAGCTACAAATACAGTTATACGGTATCTGTTACTTAAAAAAAAAGTTATACGGTATCTTTCCAAAACAGACCTCTTCTGCCGACTGCCATCTGCCAACAATTGTAATCGCGTTGAATCAAGTCGAATCGAATCAAACTGCTGCTGCTAATAAAAATTATCGCTAACACGATGAGCTAAGGTTAATTAGCAAGCAACAGCACCCAGTGAGATGATGAGATCAATAATCAAACAATAATCAGCTAAACCGACCAGCTCACCGGAGATATGGCGCCTATGCCTGGCCATCCTCCCAGCCAGAGCGCCGCCACGGAATCTGGAGCAACTACCGCCAGGACCGCGACGTAGGCGAACGCGATGATAATGAGCACGGCTACGAGCAGGACGAAGAGAAGGTAGGGCCTCTTGCTCCAACGCCCCATGATCCCGAGCGCGAACGGGTACAGCAGCAGCAGGACCCACACGTTGAACAGCAGCCCGCTCGCCGCGCCGGCGACCTGCGCGAATGACCACCCGAAGGCGGCCTCCCTCCCAACCGCCACGCCGATGGCGGCGACGTTCACGGCGATCACCAGCACGGTCGGCATCAGCAGCGGCACCCAATGCACTTGGTACAGCTCCGCGAACCTCTCCCTCGCGGCGGCGCCGCCGCTCGCGGACACCGGCTTCGACGTCAGCTTGAACGGCAGGCCCTTGAGGCCGACGAGCCTGAGCAGGCTGTGCAGCACCGCCGCCGGGTACACGCCCGTCGCGCCGATCATGTAGAACTTCTCATTGCGGCACCAGTCCAGCAGCGTGAGCCCCGCCCACTTGATCTCCACCATGCCGCACACCTCCATCATGGCGATGGCGACGAACAGGTACAACGCGTAGGTCTGGAACGGCTTCTGTATGTAGAACTCGCCGTCGCCGGAGAGCCACATCAGCGGGAGAAGGTCGTAGACGAAGATGAAAGCCGCCGAGATCGGGTAGGTTGTCATGTTGGTGTAGGCGGCGCGCTGCATCGGGTGGAGCCGCCGGCCGGCTAGGAGCGGGGAGTTGCGGGAGAAGAACATGTCCAGGGAGCCCCCCGACCAGCGCAGGATCTGGTGGAGGCGCTCCGTGAGGTTGATCAGCGCCGTGCCGCGGAACGCGTCAGGCTCTATGGCGCAGTACATGGACCGCCACCCCTTGCGGTGCACCCGGAAGCCGGTCACCACGTCCTCCGTCGCGATGTTGTACACCCACCCGACGCCGTTGCCCCACTCCGTCTCGTTCTCGTACACGCAGGTCGCGACGTCGGCCAACTCCGCCACGAGCCGATCGTCGTCGAGCGACGCTGGCGGCGTGAGGGGCCGTTCCTGGTGCGCGGCCAGTGTCACAGAGTTGATGAACGGCATGGAGTTGCCGAACTGTCTGTGGGGGTTGTCCAGGAGCTTGGAGGCGCCGTCGGGCAGCCACCGGGGCGGGTCGGCGCCGTAGAGCGCGACGCGCCGGAACATGCAGCCGGTGCCGACGTAGGATGGCCCCTGGATGCCGTTGAGGCCGAGGGAGGTGGCGTCGAAGAAGACGCGGTTGTGGTTGCAGTACCGATCCGTGGGGTCGACGTCGTCGAAGCGCTGCGGGAACTGGACGAAGGCGGTGTCGTCGCCGTGGCGGCGGTCGAGCATGAAGCACAAGGCGGCGCGGAACGCACCCGAGTTGTTGATGTAGTGGTCGCAGTCGAAGTTGATGATGAAGGGCGCGTTGGAGAGCAGCGCCGAGACGCGCAGCTGCACGTTCATGGCGCCCGCCTTCTTCTGGTGGTCGTACCCCGGGCGCTTTTCCCGCGCGATGTACACCAGCATCGGGAGGCGCACGTCGACGGCGCTAAAGTCGAGGGGGCTGGAGGAGCTCGCCGGCGTGCCAAGCTGAGGCTCGTCGCCGGGATGGTTCAAAATAACCTGTGCCAGAGGAGCGCATATTCGTTACCAAGTAGGCAAGTACTAATATTTTCCAAGTACTGAAATCCATTTATGGCAGTTTGATCCTCATTCTCGTCTGCAAACTGCCATGTACCTGAACAATGGCGGCGTGCTGTCCTTTCTTGTGGTTTTCAACCGGCTCGGTCCAAGTGCCAGGCCAATGCGTCCCATCGACCATGTACGTCGCATGGTCACCACCTCGTTTCGCGTCGTCACGGTGGTTCGCCTCCGGCGACCTGTGTGGAATGTCGGTGAACAGCGCTTGCACCCGAGCCTTGAACTCCTCGTACTCCTGGCGAACGCGCCGACGGTCGCCGACGAACTCCCCCGGCGCGTCACCAGCGTACGGCGCGTCCGCCTTTGCCGCGAAGTAGCTCTCGGGTGCCCTCGGCTCGACTCGGTGCTTCCGGCAGAACGGCGTCCACAGCGCAGCGAACCTCGCGGTCTCGAGCAGCGCCACCTAGTGGACGAGCGACCTGCAGTGCCGGCCCTAGAGGCACGAGGTGCGATCGCCTAGGGGCCAAGCGGAGGAGGGGCTCAAGACCAGATATACAAACCTTCAGATCCTATAGTCCACTAAGTATTAGCAAACTAATGAGAAAAGAGACATTTAGAACTGGCCAGCGGCCCAAAAAGATAACATCGGTATTTCTTTCTTAATTTTCTTTCCCCACGGTCCTCGGGTGGAGAGGAGGCGAGGAGTCACGCTGCACACAACATACTCTGATCGTGAGTCCACGACGTGCGCCTAACACATGCGGAGATGGCGAGCCGCGCCGCCGCGAAGAGCTAGACTACCGAAGACACGGACACGGCGCACGAGGACGGCGACCAGGCAGGGCTCCACGACGACGACATCTTGATTATTGGCTTCTTACGAATTGCGATCACTGATCAGTTGTTTAGGCCCAAGGTAATTTTTTCTTTTTATTTTTAATCTAAATTAATTATTTGTATAGTATTTCAGACTTATAGTACTTTGTACTCATATATTTATATTTTTCTTCTAATTTATGTGTTAGAATTTTAGAATGTTACCTTAGAAACATTTGTCATGGGTGAGAAAAGAAAACGAATATATTGTTTTTTTAATCTGCATTGTTCCCCGATAATTATTATACATCTACAAATATATTGCTTAATCTATATTGTTTCTCGATAATTATGAGACATGTTAAATAAAAAATATTGTCAGGTTTATAAACCCGGGGTCTCTAATGGACCAGCTTAGCAAAAGCTCGGCCCAGCAGACGACGTTGCGAACGACGCGCAACTCCTGGGCCGGCCCAAAACTATTTGAAACGACAAGCCAGAAGAGCGATCCGGATTCCGACTGAAAGGCCTGGCCGAAGAGGAACGACGCTCGTTTCCGACTCTGGCCCACCTCTCCGACCGGAAGGCCTCGCTTCCGACTCCGGCCCGTCTCTCCGACCGGAAGGCCTGGCTGAAGAGGAACAACGCTCGCTTCCGACTCTGGCCCGCCTCTCCGACCGGAAGGCCTGGCCAACACCGCTTCCGACTCCGACCCGTGTCTCCGACCGGGAATGCACCGAACCTCTGCTTACAGCTCTTCGCCGACTGGCGCAGTCAGAGCCGACTGGAAGCAACCGACCGAGGACGCCCGCTCGGTAAGGACCAGGAAATGGGCGGAGTAAGTAAAGCAGGACGTTTAAATCAACCGTAATACCGAGGACCATACCCTGTACACCTACGGGACAATACCGATAGGGCATGTCAGAAGGGTACCCTGCAACCTTTCAGGCATATCAGAACCCAAGCAGTATTGTAGGCGCCGACGTTTTACCCTACAGTGTTATGGGCGTCATCAATTCTTATAACAGGCGAACACGGTAAAGACTCCCCGCATGCCTCTGAGCATCAACAGTGTTGTGGGCGGCGTCATTTACCATACATGGTGAATACGGTAAAACCTCCCACATGCGTCTGACAATAATAGTGTTGTGGGCGTCTACCATCATCTTGTACTCGACAGCATGGGCAACAAGACTCAGTAGCATACATATTCTCTCTCACTTGTAAAGGCCGTCCCCTTCTTCTATAAAAGAGGATGCGCTCTCTCCCAACAAGATGAGGAAGATCAGTTCACTCACATCGATTCACCCTCTGCTAGTTCTAGATATTTTAAAGCTATACAGAGCGCACGTTCGAACACTTAGCACATAGCGGAGCTCCTGTCACTCTCGGCCCTTCAAACCAAAGTCCAACTGGACCTCTTGCACCCCCTATCTTACTCCATTTCGTTTGTAACCCCACACCAAACTTCGAGCACCTGGGCTCAGGAAATAATGTCATCAACCGATTTAAACTAGACGTAGGCCACGTTGCCTGAACCAGTATAAACCCTGTGTCATTGAGTGCTAGGCCACATCCGATCACAACGTACGACAAAACTACAAATATTTACGTGTTGGTCACTTTCTGCACCGATAAATATGTTATTGAATTTGCTTTCATTTTACAAGTAAAATTAGCATCTATATATTATAAGAATTTATACATAGTGAAGAGTGGTCATTACGACGAGATCGTCAGAGAGACCCTTAAAATTCTAAAATTCTAGGAGTGGGACTGGCGACCCGCCGTCGTCGGAGAAGTACGTCGCGTGCCTGTCCACTAGGTAGTCCGTGGCGAGGATGGACAGGACGGAGTTCATGGTGCACAGCCGGGCTCGTCCACGGGGTCCACGGTGTTGATGAACACGTCGACGCCCGGGAGCTGGCCGGAGCTGCCACCGCCGCTGGGAGTGGGAAGATCAACGTGTTGGTTGAGGATCTCTAGGTTGGGCACGCGCCGGATGGGGTTGAGCTTGGACGCCTGGTTCAGCAGCCAGCTGACGGCGAACCAGAAGTCGCCGACCACCGTGACCCACCATAGGACCATGCTGTCCGAGTCCCGGTGCCTAAAGCGCCAGATGAAAAAATGGACGATGACAACCAGTCTGGCCAAGGTCAGCAACCTGTTTCACGGGAATGGGGAAAGAAAGAAAGAATATTAGAAGATGAAAGTGTATTTAAATTTCTGTTATTTTTTTGTAGCCATTTCTTTTCATTCAATTTCTTCCTTATTTGAACAACCCATTTGTTTCCATTCCATAATTAATTCATAAATGTTTAAGGTTTCTTCTTCTTTTTTTGACTTTTTGACTCTATGCAGCACATAATGATCTTAGTCTATTAATATTTTTCCCTTAAACCTATTTGCATAATCATGCAGCTTCCCTGTTTATAATTTTCTATGTCAAACCAAGACCTCTGGATTGTTTACCATGAGGCACTACACTTCTCATTACACGCTATTGGTAATCCTTATCCTAATTACAGTTCGGACGATGGGAGAGTTTGCAGAGCTCCCTTTGCTCATACATGTAATCTTCACCAAGACGAGATAATATTATTTTTATCTGTATAGTTTATATAGCTGAGATCTTCGAGTGTTATGATTATGCCCCTATTATCCAGACCATATATATTCTATGTACATTTAGTCGCTGATGAATATATTTAACTATATATGAACCCCAGTGAGTAACATCTTCAGTTACATGTGTTTGTTCTGTGTACGCGGGTCAGTTCGGTCAGCCTGCAGCAGCATCAAAGCAAATTGCCCCGATTCATCTTACGCACAGTAGCCATTAGAAGTGTATTGGGCCGATAGAAATAGAGTGTGGGCGCAACAAAGCGCCTACCTGTCTTTACCCATACGCATGCATGCATGCAGCTTTGTGCATGCTAGCTATGGATGTAGGTTGACACTAATAGTTACTCCCACTGTCTTCGGAAAATTTTATTTTGGTCAAAAACTGGTCGCAAAATCATTTTTTCTTGGTCACAAGCTTTTTGTCAATTCTGAGCACGACTTCTGAATTTTTCATAGGTCATGTCTTTCACTTGTTTAAGCTCATATTTTCTGTGGTTACTTCTTTTGTGCTCCTAAGTGAAGAAAAAATATCAAAAAATAAAAATAAAAATAAAAAGTCAAAGAATAAAAAAAACAACGACAGCCCAAAAATAGAGAAAAAAGAGAGGGACAAAAGTGGAACAATATCTAGAGGAGCACATAGAGAGCGCTATTTGAGCTGTGTTTGCGTGTGCTGATTTCCGCCTTATTCCTAATCATATTCTTGCTGTTCACATCACTTGATACATCTGGTACTTGAAACGTGAATAGGCCAGCAACTAAGACAAGTACTCGGGGTACTTATTCAGCTTTGCTATTCAGTTGCGAATATTGCTATTCCTTGCTACTATATTGTGCCTGTCCAAGCTCCACTTTCTTCTAACCTAGTACAGGTCCGCCTTGCAACTGTTACACTCAAGCTACAACGGTATCACAGTCACCGACCGATTGCACCGTCTGTTGTTTTGGTAAGAACACTTGTAAGACCGTGGTAAGACGCTGAAGAGTTAGGTGCCTTGTTTTTCCTTATCCACAACCTAAGTAGTTGGTAAGGATAATACTATCTGTGTAGTCTTTTCCTTTCTACTAACCATGTCAGGAAAAGCCGGAGGCAGCGGCAAAGAAAATGAGGACACACCTATAAATTTCAATGGCTGTGTTTTCAAAAATGAGCTTCGTGTCGTTCTTGATGACAAGTTTAATGAGATCCTTCAACAAATCACCAACTTGCCTAAGAGGATTGAAGATGTTGAACAAGGACATCCTGAACCATGTCCTAAAGATGCTGATGATGATGATCTCAAAGGCGAGGATGCTGAGGAGGATGATGGCGACGCAGAGGTCGAAGCTGAAGCCGAAGCTCGACGACGTGCTAAGGATGCACGTAACCGTAATCGGTTGAACTTTAACCGACGCAGTATGGGAGGTAATAACCAAGGTAATAATGATCCTTTTTCTAAAACCAAGTTTAAGATACCTCATTTTTCTGGTTCTACTGATCCTGAAGTATATTTAGATTGGGAGATGGTTGTAGATAAAAAATTTAGCTCCCATCAAGTACCTAAAGAATATAGAGTTAGACTTGCTACCAGTGAGTTTACTAGTTTTGCTCTTTTCTGGTGGAATGATATTTGCAATAATGTTAATGCTAATGCTAATGCTAATGCTAATGCTCAAATACCTCAAACTTGGACTGTACTTAAACGATGAATGAAATCGAGATTTGTTCCTCCATACTATCAGCATGATCTGTGATTAAAACTGCAACGTTTAAATCAAGGTAGTAAGAGTGTTGAGGAATATTATCAGGAGCTTTTAATTGGTCTAGCACGTAGTAACATATAAGAGGATGAAATGGATAAGTGTTCTAGATTTTTTGAGGTTTGCGTCATGAAATATAGGATGTTCTTGACTATAAAGAATGGACTAGATTTTCCCAATTATATAATTATGCTCTGAAAGCTGAAAGGGAAGTACAGGGACGACAACCTATGCGTTCTACGACTCCGTCCACTCTTTTATGTCCAACCAAGGTGAGTAAATTTTCTAATGTACAGACACCACCAGCGTCTGTAAAGAAGAGTTCTCCTATCACACCTTCTTCTAGTGGATCTACTACACCTTTCTCTAGCAGCTCTTCTAAAGTTGTTTGCCACCGCTGTAAGGGCATGGGACATATTGCTAAAGAATGCCCCAGCAAACGCGCATATATTGCTACTGATGATGGTTGGTATGTTAGTGCTAGTGATGAAGAGAATGAATTTGCACTTGCAACTAATCTTTATACAGATAAATTTGCGGATAGTGTTGAAGATCCTGATGAGATAATTGATAGTGTGGCATGCACTACAAACTACAAAATCAATCCTTGTTCAGTGTGTTTTAAGTACACAAGTTGAGCCAGTAAACAAGCTACAAAGCCATAATTTGTTTGAAATGTTCCTTATTGTCAATAATTTCCATGTTCGTGCTATAATTGATGGAGGGAGCAATAATAACTTGGTAAGTTCTGAGCTTGTCAAGACCCTTGGTTTATCTGCACATGCTCTTCCATATTCATATCATGTTCAGTGGTTCAACAATAGTAGTAAGGCAAAGGTAACACAATCTGCTCGTGTGCATTTTTTTTATCGGATCATACCATGATTTTGCTGATTTTGATGTCGTGCCTATGCAAGCTTGTTCACTTTGTTAGGCCGCCTTTGGCAATATGATAATAATGTTGTACATCATGGTAGGCAAAATAGATATACTTTTATGTTAAAGGAAAGACCATTACTTTACTTCCTTTAACTCCTGCTGAAATTATGCAATATGAAAAGGAACTTGCTGAAAAGAAAAAGAAAGGCCATGATAAAGACTCTAGCAAACCAGCAAATGAACCATCAAGTAACATGAAAGAAGTTTTATTTGCTCTTAAATCTGCTCTTGTTGATCATGATGAACCAAGTTATGCTTTAACTTGTACATCGCCTATATGTCCACTTGGTCCTACTTCTACTGCTATGCCTCTTGTTGGAACTAACCTTTTACAGGAGAAGGAGGATGAATTCCTAGCAGGGAGGCCACCATGGTAGCCGCCTTTGCGAAGGATTGGGCGCCAAGATAAACGTCTTCTTCCGGAGCCATCGTTGCTGTCATCCAATGGAGGAGACAATCTACTTCAGTCGATGACGACTTTAATTCAAGAAAGAGATCGATGTAGACAAGGCCCGATCTTCCGAAAGGTATGATAGCATCGATTGGTGGAGACTCGACGTTGACGATCTAGGCTTTGAACCAAGACTGATTCAGATCCTCGCAACCGTTACACCACTGCTTCGTTGGTTATCAACCACGTGAACGCGATTGACCTCGCCGAGAAGGCTTTCCTACAAGCGAATCGAGAACACAAACAAGAACGGGATGAACGCAATCTGAAATTACAAATAAATATGAGGCTTATGATAACGAGAAGGAGTTCAAGTCTTTATTCGAAAGGACTAATCGCCATAGGCGAACAAGATCAAGAACTAGGGGCCCTGGTTCACAGCAAACGGCCTTGGCGGCACAGTTGCAGAAAAACAGCGTATGTTTCATAAGGAAATCAAGAACTAAACAAAACCCCCAAACCCTAAGGAGAGCGACGGCTGCTAATTATAGAGTCTTGGACGTCACCCCCTAGACGCGCCCCTAATGGGCCCAAACACGATACATGGTCTAACGGACCAAAAGACAGTGTCGCAGCACCCTGGCAGATTCTAGACATTGACTTGTTTCGACGATTTCTATTTAGTCCGAAGGGATTTTGACATGAGACCACTTGCATTGGCTTCCTTATCTAATTAGCTTTCCATCCATATGTGGATCATAAAAAACGGAGCCCGGACACGCCCGTGTGACCAGTTTTATGACAGACTGGTCCTGGAACCCGAGATGGGCTCCAACTTCAGTTGGACTGGGCCTCCACCATGAGAAAGATGAATCGGACGCCCATACTAGACCTCCTCCTCTCCTTGGCTTGTATGTGATGGGGTGATGTCCTCGTCAATAGGGGCTAATTGTTAGCTGCTAAAAATTCGCCCTAGGTGATCAAAATAGGAGGGCCATCATGTGGTCTAAAAATTAGCAAAGTCCTTGGCTAGTTGTTAGCCTATTAGCCAAGCACAACTAACTAAAGAAGGGCTAATAGTATTAGATATTTAGGCAAATTTAGAAACATTCTAATCCATAAACTTATAAAGATATTGTGACAATTATGTGCATGTGTGATCTACTAGTAATTGCCGCATACATGCTAATCATATTGATCATATGAACAAAGATAAAGACTAGGATGTACCCTATAGTACGGACCAGTGTCGAGGGCACCGGTGACACTGTTACTTGGGTCAACCATGACCAAGTCTGTTCATTGTAGTCGATCAAAAGCTAATGTAGTGCAAGGAGAAAGTCGTGTACACATTCCCATTTGCCTTGTGCCAACCACCAGGAAGTAGTTATAC